GGAAGGAAGGAAGGAAGGAAGGAAGGAAGGAAGGAAATAAAAAAGAACAGAAAACAAGCTTTCAGGCACCAAAATCTTTTAAAGCCTACAGCTGTCCAGGCAATGGACAACAGACACTTTCCTCCTACCAGCCTGTTTCTTCAGGCTAGCCCTGCCCCGCCTATCACTAGCCTCATCTCTATAGTCCTCCTTGACATCGATAAAAGCCACAGAGGCCCGAGCAGGAGAGCTGCTTACAGAGGAACTGAGTTTATTTCCCAGCACTCATGACTAGTGTCTCACAACCATCATACCTCCAGTTCCAAGGAACCCTACACTCTTCTGACTTCTCTGGGTACCTATCCATGCCATACACACACACACACAGAGACACACAGATAGAGACAGACAGAGACAGAGACTTAAACCAAAAAACAAAACAAAACAAAACAACAAAAACCCTGCAAAGCTGTCCTTATTCCACAGTTCTTGAACTTTTGCTTGCTCACCAACTGAAACAAAATTGTTTTTGTGTTTAGTTCCACAATGATTCTAGTTTTGCAGCTTTTAGCACTGTTGCAGCAAGATGAATACCAATATCTGAAAATTACATGCCCTTACTTTTAATTACTTTTCTATTTGGTGTAATTTAGTTATAATTATTTGTAAATCAGCTACTGACAATAGCAAGCTAGAGGTGGAAGACATTTGTTTGAAGGAAGTTCAAACAAATATAAGTAAAAAATTTCCCCCTAGATTACAACTGCATGTTAGAATTTATCTTCAAACAAGCAAACCTAACAACCTACCAGATATTTATTTTAAAATAACATAACTTGAAAGTATATCAAATTAATCTGTATTAATGAATTTTCATCCTAACCTACAAGAATAACTATTAATGCTGCAAACTCCATTACATGGCACTAAAAACACAGAAGGTAAATTAAAATTTGCAAGGCATAGCAAATTTAAGCTATGAAGCTTAGAACAATTTAAGCATAGGCAATTGTTACTAGTCAGGGTACAGATACACTGAAAGAAGGAAGTCACATGTGCCTATCACTCACATTTGGCTGTTTCATAAAACATGAAACATGTGGTCTAGGATGAATTGAATAAACAGCACTATTTTATATTCTACCCAGAAGGGATTTCTGTGTTTTCATTAATTTTAGCACACATATCCCTTACAAAGCCTCATCCTTAGAGAGGAAAAACAATTGAGAGAATTCTAACATAGCAATACTTTGCACCCAAACTGAGGGTTAGCGATGAATGAAGTATGTAATCAAATGCTTTGTTCTGAGCAGAAAACTCCATTACAAATGGATTTACACAGCACTGACCTCATCCACATCTTCCTTAATTTTTCACTTGTGTTCTTAACTTACTCTCTCTACATGTTTAAAATATCATCTTCTCAGACCCAAGAAGTATCTGAGGAAAGGATGTTTGGAGAAAAGTCAAGCTTGCTGACATGCAAAGGGTGGTAACCAGACAATTTAACATATTCAACAAATGATCCGCGTGGTGGCGCACGCCTTTAATCCCAGCACTCAGGAGGCAGAGGCGGGGGACTCTATGTGAGTTCAAAGCCAGCCTGGTCTACAAAGTGAGCTCCAGGACAGCCAAAGGTTACACAGAGAAAACCTGACTCAAACAAACAAACAAACGAATGAACAAACAAACAAACTGATCTGCAGATACCGTGATTCAACATAACTAAAATGTGAAGGGGCCACTTACTGCCATACCAGCGTGGTAACTTGTGCCACAAGCAATAAGAATCAACCGCCGACACCTCTGGATCTCCTTAATGTGGTCTTTCAAACCTCCCAAATTCACTGGAATAGAAATTTGTGTATATAATTACTTTAAAAAGAAGCATATAAAATAGGCAATCACTTTCCCTTAGCACCCACTGTCAATTTAAAAAATTAATACTAGTTTTAAGCAATTCATATTCCTTTTTGGAAGAAGAGTTTGCTGTAGTTATATAAATTAACAGTTCACAGCTTAACCGGCCCCTCACCAAATCTGCACTCCCCCTACTCAACCACCAAGGAGTACAAACACGCAATTCTACCTTTTCATTCCTCTCTGCCGATTGAAAATTATCTCAAAGAAAAAAACATACAGGAATAGAACCAGCAGATCAGTTGGTACTGAAAGCTGGATTTGGAGAGAGGATGACAACAGGGCACAGGGAAGTTTCCAGCATGACTGAATTGTTCTGTCTTGACTCTGTTGAAGTAATGATTGTGACTGTTACAAAGGTCTGTCAAACCCAGAATCTTATCAGGAAGCTGAGGCAATAGTCATTTGACACCTGTAACTCAAGAACAGCCTGGGTAACACAGCAAGATTCTGTCTCAGAAAAAAATTAAGCAGAATCTTACATTTAGAGTAATGAATTTGGGACTGGAGAGATGGCTCAGTGGCCAAGAGGACTTGCTGTTCCTGCAGAGGACACAGGTTCAGTTCCCAGCTCCCACATGGCAGCTCAAAACCATCTATAACTCCAGTTCTAGAGGATCCAACACCTTCTTCTAGCACAGGCATGCACACGGTACACATAACTTCAACTTCATACAGGCAAAACAGCAATACACATAAAATAAAAATAGTCTTTTTTAAAGGTTATTTTTTAATTTAGTTTCATTTTTATTCATTTCAGTTTGAAAGTTATTTCTTTCAATGATGAATCTGGGTAGGTGAGACAACCCAGCAAGGCACTTGCTGCAGAGCCTGATGACCCACCTGACTACTACTCCCAGGACCCACATGACAGGAGAGAAACAACTCCAGCAAGCTATCCGCTGACCTCTACATACCATGGCACATGTGCCCACATACATATGCAAAACACGTCAATGTAAGAAGATAAATGATAAATGGAGGGCTGGGAAGATAGTTAAAACAGAAAGTGCTTGCCACATAAGGCTGAGTTTGACCCAAAGAACCCATGGAAAAAGCTGGGCATGATGGGCTGTGCTTATAATCCTAAGTCTGGGGACGGCAGAAAGAAGTCTCCCTGGGCTCACTTCCAGCCAGTCCAGCCTAATCCACAAATGCCAAGTGTTAGTTAGAACCTATCTCAAAGCAAAAAAGAAAAAGAAAAACAAGGTGAAATAAGCCTCAGAAACAACACCCAGGGTTGACTCTGGCTTCCACATAAGCACACACATGCACATTAGTATGTACACACACCCTGACCCCTACCTAAACACATAAACATGGGTAAGTACAATCAAACATACAAAACAATTATTTTCATTATGTCTAATTATACTTCAATAAACCTACCTAGAAAACTATCTTAATATGTTTATTTCTACAACAAACTCCAAACTATGATGATCTATTTTTCCAGAAATACTTCTTGTCTTCAGAGAGACTAAACTACTGCCAGACCCTGCAGCCAAACTAATAATATGCATTGAGATCATTTAAGACTATACCTTCAACCCGCTATCCTACTGTATACTCAGCCTGCTTAAATTCAACCTTGTAACCAACTTTACTATGTGTTGGATTTCCCCTGCAGTCAGCTTTACCATGTACACCAAATGCACACCTAGCCTTGATCTTAAATTATTCCATGCCTCTGACCCAGAATAATGCATGTGCGTTGTGGTAATCATTTGCCAAAAGCAGCTGACAGGTTGAAGCAGTCTTAAACAAAACAACACATAAATGTTGGCAGCAACATGTGCATATAGATCTGTTTGCAGTTTTGAGTGCTGTTCTGGGTCAGTAAAGTAACTTCCTCCCTTGTAAAAACTCAAAGATTTGTATAAAGAATTCCTAAGTGCTATCAACTTCCTCTTAGCACTGTTTTCACTGTGTCCCATAAGTTTGGGTATGTTGTGCTTTCATTTTCACTGAATTCTTTCTTTTTGTTGTTTTTTTGTTTTGTTTTGTTTTATTATTTATACAGTATTCTGCCTGGATCTGTGCCTGCAGGCCAGAAGCAGGCACCAGATCTCACTATAAATGGCTATGAGCTGCCATGTGGTTGCTGGGAATTGAACTCTGAACCTCTGGAAGAACAGCCAGTGCTCTTAACCTCCAAGCCATCTCTCCAGCCTCAATGAATTCTATAGTCTTTAATTTCTTTATTTCCTTTCTGGCCCAGTGGTTACTGAGTCTTTTAAAGCTCTTCAGCTTCAGGCTGGAGACATGGCTCAGAGGTTAAGAACACTGGCTGTTCTTCCAAAGGTCCTGTGTTCAATTCCCAGCAACCATATGGTGGCCCTTAATAACCATCTATAGTGAGAACTGGTGTCCTCTTCTGGAGTTTATATTATTTATATTATTATAAATAATTATTTACATTATAAATAATAAATCTAAAAAAAAATTCTCTTCAGCTTCTATAACAGAGGCATACCCCACACCTCGACCCACAACCCTTCTGAGCACCACCCTCTACCCACCTCCTCAGGACTTACTTTCTTTTACAACTCTTCAAGTACTAGATCTGGAATATACTGTAAATTATAGATTACTTCATAAGCAGCCTCCTGATACTTTTCCCACCAATGCCCTCAGCTAATACTCTTCTATCCAGCTAAGTGTTCTCCTCTGACCACCACTCATTGAATCTTCCAAATCCATTCCTTCTTACTTCATGAGGCCTTCTGTCTTCCCAACACCCCTTTCCACAAATAGAGTCATTCTCCATATTTCCTAAATTCATTATTAAACTTCAAACATTTTCTCATGCTAGGATCATATTTTACTTTTATTTAAATTGTTGATTATGCATTATAAACGATTAAAATATTGAGGGCAAGACTACATCAGAAGCATTGCTATGGTCCACTGCTATGACATGAGTTAAAGCTGAGAGTCCATGGTCATAAGATTTCTGTAAGCTCCTGAGATATGTGCTCTAGATTTCTATCTTCAACATGAAGCAAGGTGCAAACATGAAAGCTCTGCAGAAATTCCTGCTTTGCTACTTAGGAAAGGAACCTAGGGGCTGGAGAGATGGCTCAGGGGTTAAGAGTGTTTGCTGTTCTGGCAGAAGTCTTGGGTTCTGTTCCCAGGACCCACATGATGCCCCCAACTACATCAATTCCAGTTCCAGAGAATCTGATGTCCTATTCTAACCTCCAAGAGCACCAGGCACAAATGTGATACACATACACACAGGCAGGCAAAGCTCTCAAACACACAAAACAAATAAATCCAAAAGAAAATTTTAGAAAGAAACCTAGCCTGGCTGATAGATGAAACCTGAACAAGCTGACAGGTTCTTTTCAGAATTCACAGTGCCCAAAACATGCGAAGAACTGTCCCTGACAGCCACAGGAGGACCCAGTAAGCAGCAGCCACCCCTGTACCATTTTTAAGGATGCCACTCAGTGGTTGACACGCACATTTACACTATTGGGCCCCTATCCCGACAATCCAACTCTACAACTTTTCATTGGGAAACTACCGAGGGAATCAGCACTCTACCACTACCCCAGCACCTGGGAGCCATCAGCCCACTTCCTGTCTCTGAATCTCATTACTCTGACTCTACCCTGAGGTACAATTACACTTTGATGTCTGGCACTCTTGGTTGTCCCGTAGATCTATAAAAAGGACAATAAATTTTCAGATTGCTAATGGCACTTCCACAAGAGACTAAAATGACAAAATACAAAACGTCATTACCAGTGTAGTCATCAAAATTGACTCTTCCTCTCATTGTGTTCACAACGGACTCTGGCTGCTCAAAAATTTCCTTCTGCATAAATGAACTAAAGTTGCCTACAAAAAATAGAAATTAATTAAATAATTAAAACAAGAGTAAATAGCTAAGAAATCTATATACAATTAAGTCTATTTTTTCAACATAATCTTAATAGATGAGACAAAAGGTCATATAATAATGAATATTCAGAATGACTTCCTAAAAGCCTGGATGAGTACTTTACTCTATATAAAAAATAAACAAGGGAGAAAGTCACTTTTATTTACTTAATAGCTAAAATTCATAATTACACAAAACCAGGAACATTAGATAAAATTTTGAGTTAATTCATCAAGCTATCCTTTACTGTGTCAACTGGGAAAACTCCTTACTTATACAAACAAGATCAGTATTTACCTCCTAGTCTGGCCTGTCGTGTGGCTCATGGAACTTTGCAGACAGACAGTAATCCTACAATATAATTCCTACTACAACCCAATCAGAAAGGAGAATAAAAATCTTTCAAATCCCTAACAGTTAACGGCAGTCCACATTATATAGGGCACACAGATATCAGACACTGTTCTAAGAGCTTTATGTGGATCAGCCTTCTTGATCCGCAACACAACCTCAATAGATGGATTCTGTTTTCCCCTCTTAATATATGAGAAGGCTGAAGCGGAAAGACTACAAGAGTACTCAACAGAACACGAGGCATATTTACCATCTTTAAACATTTGGTACTACCTCCTTCTCACATTAAAAACAAACCATAAATTAGTTTCAGGAACTATTCTAAAACCAGCAATTTCTCCAGTCATCCCTTGTCTGGGCTGACCATCCACTCATCATATGGACGATTTCACCAGCTTCATCAGCAGTACGGGAAGTAGAATGTTTCCATTGTTTAAGCATCCCAAGGCACTCACCCTTCATGATCTGCTGGAGTTCCATCTGGAGGGTCTGCACAGCTCGGCCAGGATGGTCGCCTGCAGTTCGTTTAATTCGGTGGATAGAGAGACGGCCATCCACCACTGCTGCAACATCATCATCTTCAAGAAAGATGACACGATTGGTGTGCTCTATCACAGCACTACAAAATGGTCAAGGAGATATTATCAATAACCAAGAATAATTGTCACCAAAGAAAACTATCACTAGAACACAGGGACCAAGCTCAAGCATTAACTCTCATCTTATACCACATGTGAACTGTCCATGCCTTTGCTTCCTGCAGGGCTGTATGAAGGATGTGGTCATTGTGGACAAAAAAATAAAGTGAACCTCTGCACAGCGAACTATTCACCAATTAGAAAAATCAGAAGGCATGGCTTTTTCCACCTCATTCTAGCTCTTACCAAAGCCTGTCGTTTGAGCCCTGAAACATTTCTGAAACTTCCTTCCATGTCATTGCCACTAATGAGTACAAGCTGCCAACAGCTCTTTGTCCAGCTTCTGCAGCATCCCTCAACTACCCACTACCTTCTCTTACCTCTCTACCTGTTCTCCTTTCTGCCCAACTCAACAGCAAAACAGTATGCTCTCCAAAATTTTTCCTTCACCCAACAAATCACTTTTCAGCCACCCTCTGGCTCTCAGGAAAACTTCAAGCTGCCTTGCATGACCCATCAAGCATCTTCTCTTTCTATTCAAGCTGCCTAAGGCCCCTCCCACACTCTCACAGGTGAGCTGCCTACAGAGTGACTGTTCTTCCCAACCCTTCACCTGATTTGCTCCTGATCTCCCCTTAGCTCAGTGTAAGCTTCACTCCCTTAAAAAGACCTACTCCAAGGGATTAAGTGATCCTGTTATAGGCACTGTATCGCTCTTGTCACAGTGGGAACTCCACATATTTGCTTTAAAATGTCTCTTCCTCCACTATGGCAGACCAAGCAGGATTTTTATCTTATCATTCTCCTGAGACTAGCATAAACACACACACACACACACACACACACACATGGCTTTGCTCAATAAACATGCATGAATGAACCAAAAGCTGGTATGTTTCTGCAATTTCTAGTTTGAGTCAATGTTATCAACTCTCAAACCTACTTAATGACAGCAAAGACAAATTTGTAAAAGCTAGAAAACCATAGTTTGCATCTCACTGAGACAACACATTCCCTGAAGTACTAAGTGGCATAATCTTCTCATTGTTATTTCTCTTATTTTCATTTGCAGTGAATGAATCAGGTATTTGCAGACAATACATGGTTCTATTTTATTCCCATTCCTACAACATTCGAATTATCAATGCCTCTAAATATTCCACTATAGTTTCTTTTAAAATTTTGTTCTTCCTTTGTAGAAGAATTATGCTGTTAACTTTAAATGTAAAAGCTAAATGTCCACATGAGGCCCAAACTACAGTATCTCAGCAACTATAACTTCTAGAAAAGCAATCCCTCCTCCCTATAATACTTGGCATGCCTCCTAGAAATAAAACAAACAAACAAACAAAAACTCCAAGATAAATGCACTGGAATCAGTCTCTAAGAATAGATGTGTTCTTGGTAAAGTGACGAAAATGCTGAGAAGTGGGAGAAAAAGTACTCTTTTAGTGCCCTGTGTCTAACAAGGTGACCACTATTTTTTTAACTGAGAGTTCTGGGCTGAGGCATCACTTAGTGAAAGACTGCTTACTTGGCATACAGGAGTCATAGCTTCTATTCTCAGCACCTATATTTTTGCAAAATACTTTCATGGTTTGGACAAGTTTTTCTAAAAATTCTCTTAACTCAAAGAAGGAGGCTCACCTTGCATCAGAAGCAAAGTAATATTCAACTGCCTTTTCCTCAACAGGGAAGAGGCAAGTTGTGCTGTCCACACGGGAGAGGCCACAGCTTCCTTTCTTGTCTTTGCCTAGAGCACAGACATAAGAAAAAAATCAGCAAGCACAGAAAATCATGCTACAATTTTAAAATAAGCATATTTCATAAATGTGTTCATAAAGTCATCAACAAAAAGAAAAAAGGAGCAACACAGAACAAATTCAGCAATTCTCAAATTTGGGATAGCTCGCTGTATTCCCATGCAATAAGCCAGGAAGAACAGATCGGAAGTGCAGTGAAACAGCAACCACAAAGCCCTCACGGCAGGCAACACTGCTGCGTGTGAACTCTGCAATGTCATTTCTTTTCAGGTGTAACTCCAGTAATGTATTCCTAATAACTTTTAAAAACCTAGAGGCTGCAAGGCTAGAGATATGTCTCGGAGACAAAGAGCACTCACGGCTACTGCAAAAGGACCCACGTGTGGTCCACAGCACCTACATGGTGGCTCACTCCCATCCATAACTCCAATTCCAAGGGCCCAGACTCCTCTCCTGCCTCCCTAGTACCAGGTACACTTGTGATGCACATAAATACATGCAGACAAAACTTTCATACACAAAATAAATATTTTTAATTAAAAACTAAAAAGCATTCAATATTGTGCAATGAAAAATAAAGACATAAAGACAGACTAGTGTCAGGTTCACCAAGTTAGCACAGCAAGTCAAGCCTATATATTCATTAAAATCAAAGCAATAGGGGGATGGTGAGATGGTTCAGCAGGTAAAGGCACTAGACCCTAAGCCTGAAGACCTGAGTTCAATCCCCAGATCCCACGTAGTGGAAAGAGAGAACTAAGACCTACGATCTATCCTCTGGCTGCCATAATGTGTGCTATGGTACGTGCACAGCATATATACACATACACAAATAGGTCTAATTAAAAAGCAAAGCAAAGACACATGCCACTTGGCTCGTATGATATGCCAATATGGCACATACTCCTAATCACAGCAAATGCTATAAGCCAAGAATCTCTCCTGTCTTAGTATTGTGTTTTCAGAATCTTTTTAATTCTGGCATTTAATTTAATTTAATTTAATTACCATCAGTAATATATTTTCTTTTTTGCTAATTCATAACGAATGCAGAGCTGAGGACATATGCTGGTGTAACAAATTCTCTAAGTTAAAACCAACTAGTATCTGGGCCAGAGGCACGTAGATTAGTTCATGACCAGTTTCAGCTACACAGTAAGCTTGAGGCCAGACATCTCAAATCTTTTAAAGACTATGTAAATGTACCATGGATATAGTCATATGTGCCTGCCTCTAATCCTAGTATTCTGGACACTGAGGCAGGAAAATCAACAATTTGAGACCGACCTCAACTATACAGCAAGCCTTTGTCTCAACACACACAATCTAAATTGAGAAACAAGTAGAAGCCAAGAACCAACATTTAAAAATCACAACTATCTTGGTTTCTAAAATGTCCTAAAGCTGAGCATCACTCCAAATATTTGTTAATTTGTTTTGTTTTTTGAAACAGGGTTTCTCTATGTAGCCTTGGCTGTACTGGACTCACTTTGTAGACCAGGATGGCCTTGAACTCAAAGCGATCCACCTGCCTCTGCCTTCCTGAGTGCTGGGATTATAGGCATGCACTATTGCACCTTGTTTGTAATTTCCTAGTTAAGAGAAATATATCTGATTGAAATATTCAAGCCACTGAGACATCACTGTCTATAAACGTCTAAAATCCTTTCCCATTTGAAGATTCTCTCGCTCAACTAAGATGGAATACAGTATCTCCTGTTTTCAATGGAAGATGTGGCTTTAAATTGGAGACAATAGCTAAAGCCTGAAAGCCAGAAAATGTTCTCTCTACAGCCCTCCTACCAAAATTGTTCTCCTGATAGCATGGCACCGAGCTCCACACCATATACCTATTAGAACTACAGAAACACAGAAATCTAGCGTCATCAACCTGAATGTTTCTTCCAACTTTTGAAGACCTCACCCAATTATTTATTTATTTGTTTGTTTGGTTTGGTTTTTCAAGACATGGTTTCTCTGTATATCCTTGGCTGTCCTGAAACCCTCCTGTAGACCTGTCTGGCCTTGAACTCACAGAGATCTGCCTGCCTCCCAAGTGCTGGAACTAAAGGTGTGTGCCACCTGGCAAATTATTTCTAAAACAGCCTATAAGATTGCACTATTGACACACACAAACAGTGCTAATACAGGAATCTGGAGCCGCGGATCCAGATTATGTGTTCTCACTGGTGGACTAATCTTTCTTCTGGGACAGGTGAAGAGAAGTGATACAGCAAGAAAAAGAGTTATCATCAAGCACTTAAGATTGTTTAAGGAAATAATTTTCTTCCCAAGTGAAACATGAAAGCAGTCACACAAAGATGAGCAGGTTCAGCATGCTCTGGGAACTGCTGTTCAAGAAGTCAACAAGTACATGTCAATCATTAAGGTTTTGATTTTCTGAGCCGAGCACTCCCTATCTTTTGCATGGAAAGCTCTTAGCATTAGTAAACAAAAAGAAGTACACTGTTTTCTTTTTCTGTGTAATTCAATAAAATGGTTTGCATAAAGACATGCCAGTGGGACACACTGAGGCAGTCAGGAGGACAGCCTTAGCTACAGAGAGTGTTTGAGGTTAGTGTAGGCTATGCAAGATCCTGTTTCTACCTCCTCTCAAAAAACAGAAACAAGTAAAGTAATTGGTACTGGAGAGGTGGCTCACCAGTTAAGACTATTTCTCCCTTTCAGAAGACCCAACCACATATAACTCTAGCCTCAGAGGATCTAATGCTTTTGGCCAGGGTACCTTCACTTTCATGCGCACACCCACATGCGGACACACGTCTGTATATAATAGAAAAATAAAAATAAATCTTAAAAAAAACAACCGGGAATCTGGGACTACAAGCCAGTGGCAGAATACTTGCCTAGTGAATATATGGCCCAGGGTTTGAACACCTCCCCAGCACCAATAATGATAAACTCTCAAACATAAAAAATAAAATGACTCCAAGTTAAAATAAAACCAATCAAAACACCAATGTAAATATAAAAGTAAAATGTCATGCACTAAATAAGACCATTTAAATCTACTTCAGTTAAAAGTGAGGCCAAATCACTCAGGAAATAGATGCTCAAGTTCAGTGTTCCTTTCCTAATCTAAGCAAGCAACCTATATGATTTTAAACAGGAAAAGGAAAAAAAGGCCTTGATTTGAAATATTCCTCAAACCTCCCATTAACAAAACTTATTAAATAATGTAACTATTAAAATGGCAAAAGCAAACAGACAAAATATATTCTGCAAATTAGAAAAAAGTCAAAATATATCCCCATAAAATAAGCATATTTTTAGAGCCTCAGTTCATTTCAAACGCAAAGAGTTAGTAAGTGAAGGGCAGTAGGTGAGAGCAAAGCCCTCCATCCATGCAGAGTGCATTCCCACCTCGTTCTGCCTGTGGTCCCCACCATGTGAATTTTGATCCAATCTGAGTCCTAGCTAAGGATGTACAACAGAGAAAATTTCCTCTCGTCAGAGTGTTCGTAACAAGTTTCTCATGTCTAGATAGAACTACGTAATTGTATGCACATGTACACACAGATGATGAAAGAACATTTACTGTACCATATGGAGCAGGGCTCTGAGAGCTGCTGCACTGTACTTACAAGGTAATGCAACAGCTTACCTGTTCTATACAGAATCGGAATGTGATCCGTAGAAAGCTTATGCTCACTCCTCACACCAATCAAAAGAGGGCTACCTCGTCTGAAATTCAAAATGAGTCAGAATCAAACCTTTTTCATAAATAATGCACTAACAATATAAAATTTAAGTATGAACTCAAAATTCATTTTAATGTGAAAAGTAATACTCTTCAAATGATTTAATTTTCCCTCTGATTTGAACTTCAGGTATAAGAAAATAACTACATTAGAAAACTGAGTGCCACCTAACCCTGAGGCCAGCCTGGTCTACAGAGCCAACTCCAGGACACCCAAGGCTACACAAAGAAACCCTGTCTAAAAACAAAAATCAAAAACAAAAAAAAAAGAAAAAAGAAAACTGAGTCCCTAGGCCACACCTGCCTACTGCTAGTAAAGTTTTTCAACTGGCAAATTAAATTACCGCTGCACTTAAGTTTCACTGAGACCGTGAGGACCTTCTTCTGCAGCTGCTTTCACGCCTGATATCACCTCTGAGCGTGGCCAGGGAGGCCATGTGCCCCAGCACACTCAGCATTCCCTACTCAGCATTCTGACCCACTCTGGAAAAGAAAATTGCCAACTCCTATCTTATAACATTATATTTTAAATTGTTCTTCTTTTAATGTGAAATGGAACTTTTCATTCAATTGTACACAGACACCAAAATTTCTTAGGCATCCTGCCTTCACACTGAGGCTATTCTTCTGTTAATAGATTGTAAATGTTCTTCCTATCTAAGAACTTTATGATCGTTTCTAAATATCCTAGCAAAACCAGTGGTGGTACAATCCCTTGGGAATGTGTCTGGCACACAATTCCAATATATATGAGGAAACTTAATGCTTTGGGTCTGAAATTAAAGAATATCCCATATCCAAACTGATAAAAAGCCACCATGCTCACCACAGACAAATCACAATGCCATAATGTATTCATTTTATTCTGTTAAAGAAAGGTACAGAAAGAAGAGTGCATAGAAACAAGCACAGCCACACCTCTAAGAAAACAGTAAAGGGCCATTCACAGGCTACTGACAATTATCCTGTAACTGTAACCCGAATGTTTCAAAGTGCATGTCATCGTTAGCCCTTAAAAAAAAAAATCTATTGTACCTTGTGCCAACTGCTTGCCCAGGAAAATGAACACTTTTAAACACAAGTGCAAAAGCACCTTCCTGTGGAGGAAAAAGGAACATCAGCAATACTTGTTAGCAATTATCAATAAAAAACATTTAAAACATATTGGCTTCTGCATAGATGCTTCTTGTTCACACTAGCGCTCTTTTGAACTAGTTCTTAACACGTCTCCATTTAAGATGTTGCAGTATGATCTCCCTAACATCAAGCCCATAGTTTAGGTAGACCCTGACTCCTGAGCTCTGGGGTAAGCAAGAAGTTTTTATTGCCATGCTTACTTTCAAACACTCCTTGTAAAGGCAGAGCACCCAGAAAATCGCCTGTGTGCATTGTACATTTCTCAATAGACATGTATCTCAGACATGCTTTCTGCCCTCAGTCTCGGACTTGAATTCTACAGTCACAGTTATTAAATTGGAGATATGGCTCCCTATAAGCATGTGCTGCTCTTGTAGAGGACTTGAATTTGGTGCCCAGCACCCACACTGGGTAGCTCACAATCACCTGTGACTCTGGCGTCAGAAGCCAGTACTCTCTTCTGGCTTCCACAGGTGCCTGCCTCCACACATGAGGTACACACGTACACATATACACACACACACACACACACACACACACACACACACACACACACACACAACCACCATAAAAAAAATCTTAAAGAAAAAGACATACATGTAGCTGTTAAAGGACTTTTCTGGAGTTGCTTCTCTCCCACTGAGGATTCTGGAGCTCAAACTCAGGTTGTCAGGCTTGCTCAGCAAGTGTTTCTGCTAGCAAAAACTTACTTTTTACCCTCAAACTATAGTAAAATCATTAGAATATAGCTATTGTGAAATACATGGAATGGTAAATGCAGAGAAAGCAACTTAATAAGTCAAACAACAGTTTCTCAAAATTCTCTGCATTGAACTGTTTTGTGTGTGTATATATATATGTATGTGTGTTTGTATGTATATGTGTATAATAAAAGCCTAAAAACACCCAAGAGACCAGTGATGGCTCAGCTGGTAAAATGCTTGTCACACAAGCATGAGTTCAGATCCCTGGTACTCACATAAAGTGCTGGGCATGACAGTTTAAGATAACCAACAGTAGCCTCTGGCTTTCACTCACACACATATACACACAGGCTGACAAAAAAATATCTCACAAATATACCTGTCTAGTCTTAGGATCCTTTGAGGAAAAAAAAAAAAATCAGCATAATTCCTGTTTATCAAACACCACTTTAAGAAAGCTACTTGAAATTAATATTCGCATAATTACTTTTTGCATATGTATGTGTGCTTTGGCACGCATGTTAGTATGGGTGTGGGCACACATGGTTGTGGCTATCGACGCGGGTGTGCAGGCACATGTGTGGGGATAGGCAGGGCTAGAGGTTTGATGCGGCTGTCCTCTTCGCATATTCTGTGCCTTACAAACTAAGGCAGGGTCTCTCCCATGAACCCACAATTTGCTGACTCAGCTAGTCTAGCCAACCAGCCAGTTTACTCTAGAATCCAGTCCCACCTCCTGAGAGCTGGGGCTACAAAGTGGCTTCCATGTGCACCCAGCATTCACGTGGGTGCTGAGGATCCAAACTCTGGTCCTCACATTTTCAATGCAAGTGCTTTCCTCAGTCCTGAAATAGAATCTTTAAAAGTATGGTTTAATACCAATTGTTGGATAACTCTTTCCACCAAGGTAGTAAAACTGACATCCTGACTTTCCCAGTTGTCATACATGTACTTGACAAGCTTGGCAATGGTTTCTGTGTCTGTTTCAGATTCAAAATCATAGCCTTTGCTTTCCTGCAAGTAGAAAAAAAGGAAAAAAAAAAAAAAAAGACACATTTAAGTATATAGAAGCTCAAAATTTTTTTAACTTAATGGTTCATTTTTGCTAACCTTTAAAAAAATTTTATTAGGTTTTTCATTTTACTTTATGTGTGGCTATTTTGCCTGCATGTTTATCTGTACATGTGTGTGATTAATGCCCTCAGCAGTAAGAAGAAGGAATCAGATCCCCTGAAAGTGGAGCTGCAGACAGTTGTTAACCACCAGGTGGGTGACAGGAATCGAATCCAAGTCCTCTGTGAGAGGAAGAACTGTTCTTAACCACTGGGCCAGCGCTCCAGCACCTGCGCAAATATTTTCTAGACTTTTTTTCTCAAAAACCAAATGAATTTCTAACTGTGTGAGTGCACAGACATATGTGTGTGCATGTATGGCGTGTAAGTACCGGCATAAGTGTGTCACAGTGTGTGTTTGGAGGTTAGAGGACAACCTCGAGGAATCAGTTTTCTCCTCCCACCTCTACGTGGCTTTCAGGGAATAAACTCAACGTTGGCAGGTTTCAGTGGCAAGCACTCTACCCACTGAGCCACTTTGCCAACCCTTAAGAGCTTACTAATTACTAACTTTTTTAATGTCATACTGACTGTAGTCAAAATTTAAGTTAAAATTAATTTAATTAGTTAAAATTAATTTATAATGGTAAATTTAATGAATATTATTCCATTAATATAATAGCACTGAAAGTAATTTTAATGAAAATTAAAGTCTGATTACAGAGAACTCAAAATAACATGTTATTGAGTACAACTTAAAAGACTTAACTTATATATGCCTCATATAAATTAAATCATAAAGAATTAAAATATAGTGGAACATATAATATTCCAAATACTAATGTCATGACTAGCAACTCTTTATAGTGATCCTCAACTTTTCAATAAAGAGCCATTAGTTACACTATTTAAACTTAAACTTAAAATCCAGTTTTCGGGCACAGCAACTTAGCAACTTAGTTCCCATCACTGCAGAAACTCCACAGACGCCACTGAGGTGGCTCTGTGACAGACTAGCACGCAGCTAGTCCTCAAAATGCCATGTAAGAAATAGGAACTGCTCCACTGTCAACAGAGAAGTACAATAAACCTCCACACCTCGAGATTATCTTGGGAACTACCTGAGCATGTCTGAATAATGCTGCACATCCCAACAAACAACTCCCTAACCCCTCAAAGACAGTGTCGTCTGGGGCCACTTCACTTACCAAAAACTTCTTCAAGTCTTTGTAGTTGGTGATGATTCCATTATGAATAACAATAAATTCTAGAGGAGATAAAAGTATTGACCAAATATTAGCACATGATGAATGCTGTGAATAGCTATTATTGTGGATAGATTTTCCTCTGTACTTTCTTTCTTATTGTTTTGGGGGTGGAGCTGGGGTTTGAATCCAGGACCTCTTACAGGCTAGGCAAGCACTAAACTACATCCCAGCCCTGCTCTTTCATTTTCTTGAGACAAGGCCTCATGATGTAGCCCAGGCGAGCTTTGAACTAGTGGTAATCCCTAGCCTCTGTCGACCAAGTACTGGGATTACAGGCAAGCACCACCACACCTGGTCGATGAACAGATTTTTCTCAAGTCAAAAAGGTCATCTACTAGCGCCGCAGGCTCCTTAATGTGGCTTGCAGCAGGAGCTCAACAGCGCTGCTTCCGTGCACAGTGTTAGTGCACATGTGCAGGAGGAAATACACAAGTTCTGCCTTCTGCCACACCCAACTACTACGCTAGCATGATGAATGAAAGCAGTGAGTCTCCTGTGCCTGTCTCCTCACTTGCACAGCAATACCCTACTTGCATCCTCTCAGGTCTCTGCTCATGTATTCTCTGGTTAAGTTTAAACAGAAGTCTCTACCAACTAAAAGAATCCGAGCAACACTAAATAAAGTTTAAGAACTAATGCCTACATAGTTACTAAGTTCTATAAATTGATTTGTGTAAGATAACTCCTGGAATGTCACATGAAAATGTCAAAGTAGCATTCCAAGAGTAAATAAATATAATCCTGAGAGATCAATTTCATCTATTTTTATTAAATGATGACTGAAAACTGTTAAAAATAGATAGTCAAGAGTTAACACTATTATGTGCAGCCATGACAGTATACAGGGCCTTTTATTTCATGTATCAAAAGAATAGTTATGACTGGGTGTGGTGGCTCATGGCTTTTATCTCAGCACTCAGAAAGCAGAGATGGGAATTTCTGAGTTCAAGAATAGCGTGGTCTACACAGTGAGTTCTAGGCCACTCGGGGCCACATAGTGAGATCCTGTTGAAACAACAGCAGAAGAGAATAATTATTACTGAATACAATGGTTTTGTTGCCCTGTCAGGCCTGAACTCCTAGATTTAAGCACTCTTTCTGGCCCCTATTTCTCTGTAACCAGAACAATAGGCATGTGTCACCACGCCTACCTACGTCTAATCTATTATAGTATTCAAAATGTTCTCAATATACCTAATTATCTCACATTTGGGTCTCAAAAAAAAAGTAATCAAGACTACTGAGCCTACAGGGATCACTTCAAAAAGAAACAGGAACCAACTGGAATCCACTCCCAGTGGGGCAAAACAGGAAACTGCTGCCACAAAGCTGCAGAGGGCTACAACAGTATACGGAAATAAATCCAGTCTTTTCTACCAGAGACTACTCGGAAGGACCTGAGGAGTAGAGTGTGAACTGCACAGTCGTAGGAACTATTTAGGGAAAAGGAGGAGAGGAACAGAGGGAGTAAAGGATGGAGTGCAGCCAGTGCAGGAGGAGGAAATACCAAGAATAACGTGTAGTAACAAATGAACGAATGTCATAAGGAAACCCATTCTTTGCATGCTAACTCAAACATCAACTTTAAAGACACTCAAGATAATTACTATGAGTTTATAACAATGAAAACAAAAGAAACACTGTTCAGGATAACATTAGGATCACTTAATGTTTGAAAAATGGTAAATAAAGGAAAAGAATTAAGACTTTACTCTGCCTTCCTCATACAGGGTGACCAAGAAGTTGACAGAAACTTCTCCTTATAGACATATCTGAGCTCAAAACTGAAAGAGGACTTAAGGTACTAGACTGCTGGCACGTGACAATCTCTGTAATCTCTGCAGTAATCACCAACAGTTAACATGGCAAACACTGTGAACCTCCACATGCAAATAATCACAACCATCATTTAAAAGAAATGCTCAGGGCTGCAGACACAGTACATGCAGAGACCCGCCCAGCAACAGTGCACCCTGGGTTCAATAGCCAGAACTGGGAAAATAAAGATAAAGGAACATGTCTGTTTAGCAGGACATGATGGAAAAACTAATTTAAAAAGAAGTCTCTATTCTCTGCGTGTGGTGGTTCATGCCTTTAATCCCAGCACACAGGAGGCAGGCAGATCTCTGTAAATATGAACCCAGCCTCATTTAAATAGGAAATTCCAGGTCATCCAAGGACTACATAGTGAGATGGAACACATCTGTAATCTTAGTGCTTGGAAGGCAGCAAAAGGAGGGTCAATGATAGTTCAAGGCCAGCCAGGTCTACAGAGTGCAACTGTTTTAAAAATCAAACAAAAAAGACAAATAACAGGAGTAGATATAATTAGCAGTACCTAGACTACAGAAAACTTACAGATAAACAACATACTAAATTACAAAAGAAAGATAAAAAGACTGACATATTGAAGTTACCAATCTTTATTACTGGAATTCCAATAATAACCTATTTAAGGAGGATTGTTGAAGTATGAAGATGGGATTAAGCTCTATATACTCTCTGAATATGTTTTGAATTTTCCATATAAAAATCAAACTTACACAACAACAATAAGCACCTAATTCTCCTCCCATTACTGGCCTACTGAAATCAGTTCAAAGCACACTTAATCTATTCATACCATTATTTTTATCAGAGCGTTGGGGGTGACTATTGACAGGATTAGGTTCTCCATGTGTTGCCCAACGGGTATGGGCTATTCCAAGATGTACATCAAATTCTATATCCAAGTCCATATCTTGTTGTTCTGTAGAAGATAAAAATTTAAAATCCCAGTATTTGGTAATGCTGTAGATGTAAGTTATATTAAATATAACTACACCAGCCCCCCTTGTCCACAAGGTTTGTGTTTTAAGATACTTAGTAGACCCCTGAAACCACAGATGATACTGAGCTCTAAACATAGCATGTGTTTTCCTACACAATGTCATTATGTCTTCCATTAATGAACCACTGTGGCCTGGGCAACAGCTTTTTCAGCTGGAGCCCTGAGAGCAGAACAAGCACAAATGTACTTTCGTCTCAATTTCAGACAGAAGATTCATCTTTACCATACCTCCTAGCAAACTCAGCCCTTTTCAGTAAGAGCTTTCACTCCCCCCCTTCACAAGCAGCACCTTCTGGCTTCTCTGGCAGACCAACACACCAGACCAGCATCAGCATCTTGCATCTGGGCTCATTATCAATCAAAGTAAAAACCAGGGTAAATGCAGTCCTATGAGCAGGCTCCCTATTTGAGGCCCATCCTCAGGAAGGTGTTTCTAAAGGTTCTTCAGTGTGAGGTGTGAGCTTGCCCTGAACCCACTGTCCCTAATTTCTGTCCTTGTTGCTATGATCATTTTTGAGGATCAGGAACAATTTAAACCCAAGCAATAACAAAATTACTTTTGTTCTTTCTCTTCAACTTTTGAGTCTTCCTAAAAATTGGTCCCAAAAGCAGGGAGAATGGGAATAATCAAATTAAGTACATTACTGTGAACTTCTTCATCCAGTGCCTTAACTTTCCCTTTCTTCTTAATGAGCTGGATTTTGCAGGCATTGGCTTCCCAGTCTTTGTCGTTGCCTCCATCAAGTCCCACACCTAAATCAGCAAAAAGAGGTAGGAAATCAAGACTTAGAAACTGACTGTTACGAGTACCAATATGAGGGCAAGAAAATTAGTAAGAATTTAGGGAAATTATACATTCAGCTAATTAACTCCTTTACAAAGTAGATTTTCTGAAAATCTATTATGTGTTGAGGTAAGTAACTACTTAAAACAAAAATGAAAATAAGGCTGGAAGCGTAGCTGAGTGGTAAAGAGCTTATCTAGCATGTGTGGAACCTTGCATTCAAATCCAGTACCAGAGAAGAAGGGAGATCAGGAAAGGGATTAGGAACACTTAATTCTTGCTTAACAGTCTGTTGAGAAGAAAGATAGAGACAGAACAATAACAGCCAAAATTACTTATACAAACAACTGCTTTATAAATTATAAACTGAGATAAAGTGCCATAGGCACAAGGGAGAAGTCCATAAGAGAGGCACACAATTCTCAAAGGAAAAACAAGGGAGAGTCAGTTAAGTACCTTTTGAAATTTTACTTAAGTTACTAAGACTTGAAAAACTTACTTAGACCCTGAAGGCCATTCCAAACAAAAATATGGCAAGAATGATTAGCAAGTCCTCTGAAAATGGCACAGAGAGAAAGATGGGTTGGCAAGGGAGAAAGAGGACATTACAAGCTGCAACAAAGCAAAAATGTAGAAGGCCTGATTCACACAGGTGATGAGTAAGAGAAACAGCAGGGCCTGGATGTAATGTGAGAGGGCAGTAGCCAAGGCTCTCTCCTGGTTCAAACAACTGTGGCTTGCCTGCTGACGGAAGGACAGACAGAACGAGGTATGTAGCAAGGACGGCAGTGTGTCAGTTCAACTATGAACCTGCAAACTGCACTGTACTGCGGTCTACCCAGGAAGAATTTCTAGAAGGCAGCTGGAAACACACGTCTACAACTTGAGAAGAACACTTGGGTTAGAGCTACATAACCAAGTGTTGTGGCACAACCTTGTGATCCTAGCACTCCAGAGACTGAGGCAGGGGGATGGTGCGTTTAAGGCCACTGTGGTCTACAATAAAAGACTTCCTCAAAAACTTTACAAAGTCAATGGATTATAAATCACAATGCACAAAGTTGCAGTCATCTTACCATGAAAATTTTAGGATAAGTTGGCTGGAGTAGTGATTCATGCCTCTAATCTCAGCCTGAGTTATAGTGCAAGACATGACCTCCAATAAATAAAAAAATGAAAAAAATCTTAAAGAACATTCTTATTTAAGCAATAGACAAAGGAAAAGAGCCTTTAAAACTGACAGAAAACATCGTCAGCATCCATATAGGAAGCTATGTTGTTAAGGAAGCTAAATATGGAGAATTTGAACAGCAAAGGAACAGGGCTGGGATCACTCGGAACTCCCCTAGCCTGTGCAACCTTGACTTCCATCCCAGTACCACTAACACAGGAAATGAGAAAACAACACTGCTATCCTTAGAAAGACTTTCAAGGTTGGCCCTTGGGATCTAGGATCTTAGATTCAGGGGGATGCCTATCATCTGAAAGGGGTGAGTGTGGCTCCTGTGCCTACACTGTTCATGAAAACAGTGCATCCCTCTGGGACAGACTGCTGGGCAAATTGTGCTCTGTGCTCTGCATCACCAAGAGTTTAGCTGGTAGACAACATTCAAGTGTCCTATCACAACTGCTGCTAGGGAAATTAAGTGTATCCTGTTAAAAGAGGCCTCTTGGAAGCAAGTGCCTGCTTTCCTGTAGACTTCATCCCACACTCGCTCCCTTTCGTGAATTTGCTCTGGATTCTGCTGTAGTGAATCATAGAGCTATGCTAATGAGTCACTAGGAGCCATGGAAAGGGAGTGTCTGGTGAACTCCAACACAGGGAACCAGGGTCAAACAGAAAGTTTTTACTTGGTTTGTCATTGAAATAAAACACAAGAACCCTGGGCTGGGGCTATCATTCAGTAGTAGAGTGCTTGCCTAGCATGCATAAGGCCTTAAACTTCAATCTCCAGCACAGGAAGAAATGAATTTATAGGGCTGAGCTAGAGATGGCTCAGAGGCTAAGAGCTATTCTTGCAGGAAAGCTTAGTTCCTAGCACCCATGTTGAACAGCTCCCAGACACATGTAACTCCAGCACCTGCACTCATGTACACAAACACAAGCATAAAAAATTTAAAAAAAAAAAATTAAAAGAACAATGAATTTATAGAGTAAGGTGTTCTATAACTTGTTCCTACAAAAATGTTCCATAATTTATGTTTTAGAGTAAACTTCTGTTTTGTTTTTTGAGACAAAGTCTCCTGTAACCCAAGCTAGCTTCAAACTTAATATATACCTAAGAATGACTTTGAACTTCTCTCCTCAGTGCTGGAATTGAAGGAATAAGCCACCAAACCAAGTCTATGTGGTGCTAGGGATGAACCCAAGATTTCAAGTATGCTAACAACTGAGCCACACCCCAGCCCTATAGTAACATTTTTCCTAAGGAAATTACTGAGAAATATCCACATAAATGATAGTACTGTTGAAATGACAAACGCAAACCCTTTAGACATAACAAAAGTAAAAATTCTTCAAACTTGGATTTACAAAACAAATAGTTAAGCCTCCTAAAAGTAAAAAAAAAAAAAAAAAAAAAAGAAATTAAAAATACTATTTAGATTCAAGAATCATTGCAAACTCCATAGTATATTTTTAAAGAAAATACCAGCAGAATCATATCCTCTGTACTCCAGTCTTTGAAGGCCTTTGATTAGGGTCTCCAAGATTTCTCGTCTTGTTCTGGGAACATGGTAATTTAAATAAGCAAATATACCTGCAAAAAATAAAGAAATATGTAATGTAAAACTATGAATCAAATCTGACATAATTATATTCAAGCTATACAAAAATATAAAGCTAGACCTCATTTTTTAAAAAGATATAAACCCTTGTCTCAAATTATATAGAGACCATATAACTTTTTCAAAGGAAAACTTTTTGTAAACCTGAAAGATTAACAAAAAAAAAATGTCAAAATAAGTATCTAGTTGTTTTCAAGAAAGCTTATAAAGCTCTTATTTCATTAATTGCCATTTTGTCAAGTAAAACGTATTTTTAAAAATTAAGCAAATTTGTGGGCTATATCCTATATACTATTACATTTAAACATACACAACTTCTAGTAAGTATTTTTAGCCACAAACAGTTCCTACAGCTATATAGATAAAATGACTGTTTACTTCTACCATCAATAAATTTAGGGATAAACTGTGTTTAAAAACAAAACAAAAACTTAAAATTTAATTTTTTTTTTCCCCAGAGCTGGAGACCACATTTAAGTGCTCTATCATTCAACTACAACCCAACACAGTAACAAAAATCTGACCTAAATATTTAACTGCCTCAAAATGACTTGAATCAAGTTCAGGTACCACTGTGGAAGAGAAGGCTGTAGAAGCCTGAGGAAGGGAGGAGGACCAGAGCAAAACAGTGTCTTTGGCACAGGACAGGACCTCTGCACTCATGAACTCACAGTAACTGTGGTTGCCTGTTCTAATACGGAGTGGAAAGGGGTTTATGAATCCTCCTCATCCCTGACTGAAGAGCTATGGACATTTGATGGCTTCGAGGGATTGAGAGTCAGTTGTTTGTCTTTGGGGTGTGGCTCCTGGTAGATCTTAGCACCCTTTTGCATATGCCCCTCTTTTTCCTGGTCCCCCCATTCCGTACTTCTATAAGAGCAATACTGACTTTCACATGTATTTGCCATTCTGTGTCTGGTTGATTTCACTCAACACAATGTCCTGAAGACCTTTGCCCCATGTTCCTGCAAATGTCCGGGTTTTACTACTTTATGACTGAGTAGTAGTCCATGTACAACACACACTTTCCTTATCCAATGAAGGGCAAGATTTGCATTTTGTAAAGTGGTGCAGTAAAGCAGGACTGAAGTTCTCTTTGGCTTTGGTATCTCAAATGCCCACTAGTGGAACTGTTGCCACTAGTGTAAAGGAATTTTATTGTCAGTTTCTGAGATGTGGTGTGAGTGCAGGTGTGCATATGCCTCAGCGCACATGTGGGGGTCAAAGGACAACTCTTGGGAGTGGGCTCCTCAACCATGGGTTCCAGGTTTGCAAAGCAAGTGCTCTTACCCTCAAACCATCTCACTGGTCCCCTTCTGACAGGGTCCCAGCACACACATGGTAATATCTGCAATTCAGTCCAAGGGGATCCAATGCCCTCCTGCGCCTTCATGGATACTGCCCACACAATACATGAAAACATATCACCCATACATATGAAATAAAAATACATTAAAAATATAAAACTAGGACTATTCTTTACCATACTTAAGATGCTCCATCACCATCTAACATGATGTTCCCTAGTATAAAAAGCCCTTTACAGTTGACTTGTTAGTATTCTAAGACCTAATAAAGTCCCACCTTTCACACCGCAGAGTCACACCTCTTAAGATTTATCCAGAGCGGTGTCCATGCAACGTACTATTTCCCCAGGAGACGCTTGGGACAAGATTCCCTCTCTGAGTTGTGTTTACTTGTTTCCACAATGTAATCTAATCTGATCCTCCATCCCTTGCATGTGGGGAAGATAAGCCAAAAGCTCCACTAAGGTTAGAGCTAGCGGAAACAAAGGGTCAAAGCCGTGCATTCTCTTGAGGCTTCTGCTGGTGAGCTAGGTTTTCAGTAGAGAAATCAAATTACCCAGTATATAACGTTCTGAGGTGGTCTCCAGAACACTTACTAAAGCTAACTGGCCATATTGATTTTTAACACACATGTACTTTCTTTCATTGTGTTTCCATGATGATGGTGCATCTCCAATCACTGGCATCTTTGATTCAATGCATTGTCATACTTATGTTACAACACAAAAACTACTTTTTTACATGATAAAGGAAGCACTACAAAGCCAATAATCACTACTGTCATGTTTAGTAAACTCTACTTTAGAACAGTTAGCTCAAGAAAATCTAATTAGTCAGGCAATTGTGGCACACGGCTTTAATCCCACCCAGCTCACGGAGACAGAAGCAGGAGGACCTCTGAGTTCAAGGTCAGCCTGGTCTACAGAGCAAATTCCAGGACTGCACAGAGAAACCCAGTCAAGAAAGAAAGAAAAAAAGAGAGAGAGAGAAAGAGAGAGAGAAGAAAGAAAGAAAGAAAGAAAGAAAGAAAGAAAGAAAGAAAGAAAGAAAAGAGATAGAGAGAAAGAGAGGAGGAAGGAAGGGAAGAAAAGATGGGAAGGAAGGAGGAAAGGGAGGAAGCAAGGAAGGAAAGAAGGATACAAGCAAGCAAGCAAGCAAAAAAGCAAATATACCAGTTACAGTTATCGGATTTTCTGCTATCTCAGAATGGCCAGGAAGAAATGACAAGCAGACACCTATTCAGTCAGGCAGGAAAAGCCCACAGACATTCATACTCACACGGTTGCTTTTCACCATGCAGTCCTGCTTAAAGTAACTACAAAAGCTTAAAAAGCCACCCATTTGTAATTGCTCCAGTACTGCAGAGTAGTTATAGGAGCAGAGTTTCTAACCCCAAATTGATTCATTCTCACTAATTGACTTATTTCAGTGCCATACCATATTTTATATGACCACTTCTCTACTGAGATTTCTTTGTAATGACAATGCTACATTTAAAACTTATATACACCACCCCTTATAAAGGTATTCAATATAATTATGCAGCCACATTCTATATGAAGATCTTTTTAAAATAATGTATTGAGGGGCTGGCGAGTTGGCTCAGAGGTTAAGAGCACTTGTTGCTCTTGCAGAGGACCTTGGTTCTGTTCCCAACATCTACATGGTGGTGGTTCACAACCAACCTTAACTTCATTTCCAGGGGATCTAATACCCTCTTCTGACCTCTCTGGGCACCAACCAATGCATGTGGAACACATTCATACACATTAAAAAGAAACTTTTAAAAAAGTGTTATCTCAAAAAATAATTATTGAGCTAACGTATTCTAAGCACATACAAAAATTATAATAGACGGCAGGCATGATATAACAAAAAATTCCGATTGTTTTTATTTTTAATTATGTATTTTTTTCTCATTTATAAAATGCTTGACTGAGGATATAGCTTGGTGGAGCATGTTTAGCATGGTGAAACTTTGGATTTGATTCCCAGCACCAAAAACTATTCCAGCTTGTCTCTCCCCCTTTGCTGCAATGTGTTGCCTACTAGAAAACTTATCTTGATCAATAAACATTCTGGAATTTAAAGAGCTATTTTAACTAAGTGTTTTTAATCAGTCAGTCTACTTAGGCCATTATCTCTCTTAAAATGAAAACACACACTTTCAAAAAAAGGGGGGTGGTGGCATACACCTTTAATCCCAGTACTTAGGGAGGCAAAGGCAGACAGATCTCTGTGAATTTGAGGCCAGCCTAGTCTACAAAGTGAGTCCAGAAAAGCCAAGCCTACACAGGTTTGGAAACCCTGTCTTGAAAAACCAAAAAAAAAAAAAAAAAAAAAAAAAAAGACAACATACACGTTCATAAGCCTATCTACCTCACTAAACACAGACTACATTTTTTCAACATCATAATAAAAAAATAAATTCAGCCAGCCAAACATTAGACAGATCTCAGGGAGTCCTGTGGAAGAGTTGGACAACTGAGGCAACCAGAGGGGTCAAGGCCTCCACAAGATCTACACAGTCAACTAACCTGGACCCATGGGGGCTCACGGAGACTGAACCACCAACCAAAGGGGCATGCATGGATGGATCCTAGGACCCCCCGCACACACGTAGCAGATTGCTGCTTGGTTCTCATGTGGATTACCCAACAACTGGAGGGGGTGCTCTGACTCTGATGCCTGCCTTTGGATCCCATTCCCCTAACTGGGCTGCCTTGTCTGGTCTCAGTGGGAGAGAATACGCCTCTGCAGAGACTTAATGTGCCATGGGGAAACCTCCCCCTTCTCTGAGAAGGAGAAGAGAGGGGAGGGGCGTGTGAGGCTGGAGGAGACTGGGAGGAAAGGATGGGGACTGCAATCAGGATGTAAAGTAAATACATAAATATTTTTTAAAAATCAAGAGAAAAAGAAAAGAAAATCAAGAAACAATACCCTGTAAGAATAGCAATGAAAAGAACTATGAACTCATTCATCCAGTTCAGTTTACTTTCATAGAGGTCCTGCCAACTGCCAATCAATGATGTTAATTCATTATCTGTCTAACTCTCAAACTTTCTTCACATATTATTTTAAAAGTTTAGAATATAAGCTGGTGTGGTGGTGCAGGCTAGAAGCACTCAAAGCCAGACTGATCTATATAGCAAGTTTCAGGACAGCAAGAACTTCAGAGAGACCCTGTCCCAAAAACAAAACAAAACAAAACAAAACAGAACAGATTAGAAAAACAGGTCAATGAGATGATTCAGCAGGTAGAAGAACTTCCTCTGAAAGCCTGATGACCTGAATTCATCACTAGAACTCACATAAATGTCGACAGAGAACCAAGTCCTAAAGTTGTCCACTCACTTATATATACAGTAATAATAAACACAACTTTTTGAAAAGTAGAAAAGGTCATTCACATTTTTTTTTCTATTTTTCTGTGTATGTGTACTCAGTACTGACATTGAGTCTAAGGCACTGTACATACTCAGCAAGTACTATGGTAATGAGCTACATCCTCAGCCTGAAGACATTCAGCTAAGATACAAGAATGACCTTAACTGGATTTGGTTGTAACAGTTGTATGTACAAGGACGGAAGTCTATTTATTTGTATTGAGGAAAAGGATGGTGAAAACAATGATGGTTGTCAGAATGAAGTCTTTTTAGAGTCCT